CGGTCACTTCTGCATTTCTTTCGGGTTTGCCCTGTATGCCAAGGCCGGGGAGTTCATTTTACTTCCTTTTCGAATTAAGGCCTTACCCGAAGGCTGTAATTCATAGCACTCATCTTCAGAACAAACGTCTTTGGGTTTTCGCGCCAGACAGCATGATGATTTTGAGCCTGAACAGGACATCCGCATTAATACCCACGTCTTTGTGGCAGGACTTGGGATGAAAAGTCAGTGACGAGTGAGCACTTACGAACTGGAGCAGTTCTAGTCTTCTGACAGCATGATGGAGTGCATGTCGCTGTGAGGAAAACCCACATAGAAGAATGTTTATTTTACAAATGCCAATGTATAGAAATAAAGAGATCAGTGCTCTTACTTTTCGTACGGCAAGGTGAAGAGGCTGGTTTCTCTACAGAAGATAGGAAATTGATCAGAAGTTGAATAAATGGGCGGAATAAACGCAATTTATCAACCTGTTCTTTACTCACTTGTGCATGGTTTCGGCTTGCAGCAGCTCGAAGCTACAGGGATAAAGGGCTAGACGTTAAAACAAGCTTTCCGTTATAGTTTAGCATTTGTTGGACCTACAAGAACAGGGACTACATGTAGGCTCCGGTGTTAGTGGTTGTGAATAGGTCGCGCAGCATGGAGGCGGTGGGCAGTAATACGAAATCGGTTGTGGCGGTGGTTGATAACAAGCAACTACGAAAAAAGAACGGGAGAAATTCAAGTCTTCATCACACTTGAACGGGTACAAATTACCAAGTCACAAACTTGCCTGGTGAGATTGGCATGATGCCGAAAGTCGCTAAAATATCAAAAAGGGACCACAATGAAAGGGGTAGTGTTTATGTATACATTTTTCTGTTTACATAAGTACATATTAACTGCATTTCTTGTAACCGAACTGCCTGTATCCAACTTACTTGTTGGCATCGGGCAGCAGTATGCAGGTTGTGGACAGCAAACTGGTTGAATTGGTGGACAGCAAATTGGTTGAGGTGGCGGACAGCAAATTGACGGCAGATCAGTCATCGACGTACAGACTATTTAAAACAAAAAATAAACAGCCAATAGGCTTTATACAATCATCCTTCTGTCAAGGAGGCAGGCCGTTAGTAAACCTAATATGAAGCGATAGCTCACTCGGTTGACAACTTGGATGACCTGAAACAAAAGTAGCGTTTAAGTATTTTTATCAACAGTGAAACGAAGGGAATTCTGCTACTTACACTGACTCAGCATAAGTATCATATTTGCACCTACAAATTGCAAAAACATCAACTTACGGACTCGAGCTGCCCTGTATTCTGGTACCGCAACAGGCTCTGAAAGAAGGCAGTAAAGTGCGTTTCAGTATATCTTTCCTATCTCACTTATCTTTCTCATGGATTAATGGCAGTTACCTGGTTCGATTTCTGGGATTTCAGCTAAAATAATTAAATGTAGAAATAAGATGATGATTTATTTGTATGGTAAGTCGTTTACTGTAATTAAGAAATATAAGATTACTTACGAATCGGTATCTCAGGCATTTGCGCTAAAACAACGGAAAATCTCATTAAAACCGGCTATTTGACACCAAGATGAGGTAAGTACGGTGGCTTACGTATCTCATACGTTGGCATTGGTGTATTCTCTACAAGAGATTTGAAACACATTATTATGAAGAGGAAAGGTAAAGGCATGTATTGTTTTCAATTAAATGCATTGGTGGTTTCCATTACCTGCAGCCGCAACTTTCTCATTTTCTTCACACTTGATAACCGAAAGTTTTTGACAGAACTCCGCAAGCAAACTCTTCTCTGATCCCGTATCTGCATGGTATGCTGGTACACAAATTGATTCAAGTTGTTGACCTAAAGTGGAAAACAAATTATTTTTCCCCGTTTTAAGGGTGAATCATCATTCAGAGAAACGTCTTAACGCCCTGTGCACTCACTCAGCATTGCCAGTTGCGATTTTCTTTCACACTCTAGAAGGATAAGAAGCATTAACTATCTGTCTAATTATACCCATGGAACCATCAGTAAAAGAACTCTTTAACCATCTTACCTTGTGCTTGAATATGCGCTTTATAGGCCTCCATTTCCTGTATGCAACGTTGAGTCAAAGCTAAAAGACAACAAATACTCTGGCATTACCCATTTGCTTCCACTAAAAGGTTGCTCTTGTGGGTATTCAAAGCGCTCACCAATTTGTTGTCGAATTGGCGCCCCCCTCTGATTAGCCTCCGCAAGAGCTGTAGGGAGAACGGGAGGGTCAGTTTGATTTGATCATTTTCAAAGAGCATTAAGGGACAGTGCATTACCTCTCTCGTACTGAGCGCGTTTTTTGGCTTCCAAATCCCTCAATACCTTTAATTTTTGACCTAAAAAGAATGGCAAAATATATCTTGTTGGTTTATGAAAAGTATGAAATGTGTAGTGTTCAACTAAAATAGACTTACAGAAAAGTTGCATCAACTCCTGCTCCTTTCGCTTCCGAGTGCAATGGGCCTCTGAAAAGAAACATTTGGTAAATTTTTTGCTTTGCTGCTGCTTTCATCATTCATTTCAAAAAATAAATGCTACGTTAAGGTTTTACATGTAACGTTAAGTAAGTATCAACTTTATCCACTGCCTGAAAGCGTCCTAAACTTGCCAGCAATCTTTTTTTGAACCTCCTCATTTCGTCTCCGCTCAGCATCAGCCTTTCGACGAGCGGTTTCCTGCGCCACTTCGTATTCTGCCTGTTGGCGTTTTTGAGCCACTTCAGCGTCACGCTTGGAAATAAGCTCTTGTCGTCGTCTTTGCGCATTTTCTTCTGCTTCTCTTACCCTCTGTCTATAGTCATCCATATCCGCTACAGGCAAAACAAATGAAACATTTAAAATCTGTAGGATAGGCAAGTTCATTATCAAAATTCTAGCCACTCGTTGAAATGTCGACGGAATGTCACTTTGAGCATGCATATGAATGGAAAAAAAATGATGTGGAAATCATACTTACGCTCGATATATCTTATATCGTATGCTGAGCCAGTGTTGCTAGTCCCATAACGTGAGTAAGAAGCTGTAGGAGCATAACACAACATTTTACTTACAAATCACTGCTCAGTCTTTTACTAAATATTTAAAATATGCTTAAAGTCTTTAAATAGGAGAATAAATGACTTAATGTCTATTGTCGATTGCGCTTGTATGTTCAAAAAGATAGCCGTTTTTACCTGGAAAGACTGGCTCTCGTGACTGTCCTGTCAAGATAAAATTGTATAGAATAAAATTAATGTCATCCTAAGTTTTCATCCAAGGTGGCAATGCGTACCAGAGAGAGCCGTATTGAGATTGCCATAGCTTCCTCCATAGACGCGGCTACTCCTAACTCTAGCCCCTCCGGAAGCACCACCTCCTGTGTATCCGCCTCCTCCTCCGATCATCCTGCTGGTACCAAAACTACCTCTACCGAACCTGCTGGTCATGTCTTCCATACCTCCACCGATTCCGCTGTTCATGGCATTGGCGCAAACGTCACCGTACATTCCGCTCATCCCGCCATTAATTCCCCCAACACCAAAACCTCCATTCATGCATCCGACACCAGCGCCAAAGTTTCTATTGCCAATGCTACCGCTGAGCCCACCAAGAGCTCCATTGAGTGCATTGACACTTGCACAGAGACCATTGATAGCTGCAATGCTGTTTAGGCCTACTACTGTACTAGCTACATCTCCAGTTAAGACACAGGTACCACCATTGTTGGCGTTGTTGGCGTTATTGTTGTTGTTCCCATTGCCGTTGTTATTGGCGTTGTTATTGTTGACGTTCCCGTTGCAATTAGTGTTGGTATTCTGGTTGTCGACATTCACTCCATTATCGACTTTATTGCTGTCATTGTTATTGTTATTGGCAGTGCTGTTGGCATCAACGCCAACACTGACAGGCGCGGCAACGACATTCCTTCTTCCAATACTAGGTGAGGTAGTTTCTTGGCCTGCATTTATATTTGTTGAAGATGCTGTAGAAAGAAAAAAACGAAAAACCTTATTAACAGTACCGCTTGTACTTACTGATGAGGTCTAGCATTAACTATGCACACACATAATTTCTTCTTCATTTATTACAACCAGGTAATTCACCTTCATTTCCAGCTAAAGTGTCTATATTCTGAGGTATTTTTCTTTACTCTAAGTACTACAATTTTTGGGTTTATATTTTACAAAAATAACAATATAAGGTTATCCAAGGTTATTGCTGAAATTGCGCATCAGAGTAGCCAAAAATGACTATATAATTTGGCAAGTAAATTTAACCCAGTGCACAGAAAGAGCATAAGTAGCCTCGCTTGACAGTGCAATGAGATGAGATGGCTTAAACTACCAAAAAATCAACAATGATTTTCAATCCAA